CCCTAAATACTAGAAGTTTAGAAAGAAAAAGAAAAGCAAACTCTAATGACGGGTTGCCTCCCGCAAGCGCTTCTTTTTGTGCGAGTCTTTAGCTGGACTCTCAACTTAATAAACTTCCAATAAAATCAATTCCAATCCATCCGTTGCATTGAATATCTTCTTTGGTGGACCAATTTGTAAAATTTGGCTCTTTGCTTCTAAAATTGGCCAAACGAGCTTGAATATATAAAACCCAAGAATCTTGATAAGGGTTGGGACCGGTTGGATACTAATCAGAAATGGATCGCGCTTCAGAACTTTCTCCAAAGTTGGAATCGTCACCCCATGCTTCGAAACACAAACCGGAAAAAGAGGGGGGATGTGGTAATGGTCAAACCACAGCTTGGTTCCTGCAACTCAGCTTGTTCTTGTTCTTCGTCTAACCCCTCTGCCAGCAACCTTTCCAGCTCCTCCAAGTCTCTTTCTGGATTAAATTCTTCATCTTGTAACTTTAGCTCTTGTAACTCAGATGTCCCTTGTTTATTAGGCAAGATGTTATCTAACCATCTTCCAAATTCCTTCAAATCATCATCTGAGTCATATTCCTCATCTTCTAGCTCTTGTGACTCAGATGTCCCTTGTGTGTTGGGCAAGATGTTATCTAACCATCTTCCAAATTTCTTCAAATCTTCATCTGAGTCACACTCCTCATCTTCTTGCTCAATTTCCTGTACTACTTCCTCAAGAAAAGCATCAAGAGCATCGAGATTTGGAAAATACATAATAAATAAAAATAAAAATAAAAATTAAACTAAATAAAAAAAAATTAATCAACAAATAAAATAAAAAAAATGATAAAAAATAAGCAAATAAAATTAACTATTTGAACCGTTCCTCGGCAACGGCGCCAAAAACTTGATGTGTGTGAAACGAACTAGTTTTAATCCTACTAACTTAGACACAAAATAAACACACGAAAGGCAGTGTACCTATCGATTAGTAATATAGTTCAAGCAAGTAGGGTATCAAACACAGGGAACGGTAAACAATTAAAATAAATGCTAATATTATCTAAATAAAACAAGTAATAGAAAGGGGGGGTTTTCTCTAGTTTTGCAAAACTAGAGAAACCCCCCTTTCTATTACTTGTTTTATTTAGATAATATTATCATTTATTTTAATTGTTTACCGTTCCCTATGTTCGATACCCTACTTGCTTGAACTATATTACTAATTGATAGGTACACTGCCTTTCGTGTGTTTATTTTGTGTCTAAGTTAGTAGGATTAAAACTAGTTCGTTTCACACACATCAAAGGGGACTAGAATTGTCAATTGTGTGATAGTTGGATATTGGGCTAATGGACTCCATAGATGATAGAGTGGACGAAATCTATGGGGAAACCCATTAGAATTCGTCCAAGGCCTCTAAAGGAGGAGTCCATGGGTTACTTAGGGCCTAAGCAGTCAAATTAGGGTTTCCTTGTTAGATAACCCTAATAGCCTCACTATTTAAGGACCCCTAGGGCACCAAAAACGTGGCTAAGAGTTTCCTTAGGGTTTCTAGACGTTTTTGAGTGCCTCTCCTCTTCTCCTTCTTCATCCTCTTGCTCTTGGTGTTTGTGAGCCATTAGAGGAGTGACACTTGTGACTCTAAGCTTTTAGAAGCCAATTACAAGAAGGAATTGAGATTGTTATTGCTACATAACAATCAAGGTAAGATCTAAACCCTAATTCATATGTTATTTGATTATCACATGCTAGATCTAGGGTTTATGGCTTTGGATGATTATTGCATGTTCATTAGACAAACTAGATCCAAAGCTTTAGGGTTTGCATGTACACCATAGGAATGTTGTAGTGCTCAAAACCCATCAATATTGATATAAGACGATTGATGTATGGTACCATTGATGCAAGTAACTTAATTAAATAATTATAAATACATTATACTACATAAGTCACACTGAAAACACTTCATGACAGTAGATGTTGTGTTTTGATAACAACTCTAAATCTGATGTAGATTGTGAAAAATATAGTCTTGAGTTTCATGAGAAAATAACGAGTATAATGAGTGTAAACATTTACAAATGAGATATAGGATGTGGAACCCCTTATAAAGACATCCGGGTGGGCCCTGCATATCAAAATGCACACGATCAATACGAGAAAAAGAACAAGAGACATTTTATTAAACAAAAAATTAGAAAATTTTGCTAGTTTACAACAACTACAATAAAAAGTATCATAACTTTTCAAATGACCTAAAGTACACGTAGAGACTAAAAACTGTAATTATGATGCTAATACATGTCCTAAACGAGAACGCCAAAGAAAAAAGTCATAAGACAAATGAGTTCCTTTGGCTCACAACTGATCCCAATCACCTTTGAGTTGATCCACAACAAAGAGTTCCTTTGGCCCACAACTGATCCCGATCACCTTTGAGAATGTGGATAATGTGTACAATAAAAAGAATCAGAAAAGAAACCTCGATTACCAAATTTGCATAGTTGATTGACCGAAGCAAGGTTTAAAGAAAGTTTAGGAATCTAATAGACATCAATGAAATATATGTGAGGAGTAACAATACAACCAACACTTTTTACTAGCATGTATATAACAATAATAAACATAATAAAAATGGGTGAACCAAGGGACAAAGAACACAGATGATGAAAAATAGGGTGACTTACGATGATATACACCAGAATTAAAGATACATAAGGATAGAGGAATACCTAAAGTACTGGATGAAGAAATACCTAAATGAGACATAGATGTTGACATGACAACATGATTAAAGGCAATAAACTACTTGAACTGCTAAAAAACCTAAAGATCCAAAGCATATGGTAGTGTGACTACCATGAAGATCTGTATCTACCGAAGGCGCAACAACATTAGTAAACTACGATAGGCTAGATGCCCATGAGGTAGGACCATAAGGATATTGCTGAAATGTTTTAGATGGTCTGTTTATTATGAATATCGTTGTTGTTGTTTTGCCTAGTTAAGTAACAGTGGGCACTGAGACTTCCAATGTTTTTATGTTTGCAAAAAGCATGTTTATCAAAAGCAATTTAGGAGTTGGTCTAAATTAGTTTGTAGCATGAAGTCATTATGGAGCAACAAAAACAACATGAGTAGTAGATGTTTTAGGCCCTTTATATACTTGAGACTTGAGACAAATCTCCTCTACAATCAGTTCACGAACAACATAACCAACTGTGGGAAGCAGAGTACGATTGAGGATTGTCCTGTGTAATTCTTCAAAGTTAGAACGTAATGCCATCAAGAAATGAATCAAATGTTTTTTTCTCCTTGTAATGTAAGGTTGAAACGCCTTAAACTTGACAAATCTTGTAAGCGCCAATTGATAAAAAAAAATAAGACATAGCAACATAAAAATCCCGAACGCACATAATATTTTGTTAGAGGCCTCAAAATATTTGTTTCTATCTGGTATTGTTAATAAAAATTAGACTGGATGTACAGTCTATCAATGTGATCCTAAACTTCTTTAGTGATAGTGATAATTTTGAAATTACCAGTTTCCCACATATAAAACGAAGTTTCATAGTTAGGGGCTTTCTCATATTTAGGTTTTCATGATGTACAAATAACATATCCTAATATTTTTCACACATAGATCATAGGAACACCAATGATACATATGTTAATGATTTCAATGAACCAAAAAAGAGCATGCATAGGGTAATGGAAATTTTGATGAATAGGAAGTGAGGGTAAGATACTTACATAATGAACCAATTCTCGGTTGATTGTTACTGAGGTGGGGGTCGTCGTCGGAGGGGGCACCCGAGGAAGGCAGTGCCGAAGGTGATATGTTGCTTTTTAACCGACTTGACTTGCCGACTTCTATTCTGCAACCAATTTCCATACTGTTGATTTCCATTTTAGTTTCCAAACCCATTGTTATAGGAGGAGCGACGATGAAGGACGACGACAACAAAGGCGTAGGTTGGATGAGGGCGGATCGGTGCAAATATAGGATATGGAGAAGGGAGGAGCGTTACTGGAAGTCGGGGCAATGAAAATAAGAAGGCGTTTGGGAAAATAGAAAGAGAGGTGCAAATTAGGAAATGAGTTGTTTAGTTCTCAGTCAACGATCATTTTGCAAGGACTGAATATGACTCCATAGTCGAGTAAAAGGCATCCCATCATGATATTAAATAGACCGACTCAGGTATGACAAATATGACAGAAATGACTTATTATACTCTAATAAATATTTTTTTGCAACATGACATACTCTCATTCATTTTGCTACGTGTCTTTTTGTGGTTATTTTAAATTATTTTTTTTCTACATCTTATTTTATGTTTTTTTATTTTATTAAATTCCACGTACTATTTAAATATAATAATTATACTAAATATAATAATAAATGACTATCAATTTAATTAATACAACTTTTCTTTTTACGTTTAAATTTTTTAAATTAGAGTCTTATTATTTTATTTATTTAAATTTAAAATATATATGACAACTTTAATTTCAATAATTTAATACTTTTTATTTTTATTTTCGTTATAATACTTTTTTTTTCAAATAAACCAATATACTACAGTGGGTTTACGACTAATCCTCCTTAATAAATAAAGTTTTTTTTTGCCACATGTCGTTTTCTCCTTCATTTGGAAACATGATATTTTTTAGAATTTTCTATTTTCCATTTGTCATTTTATTGTATTTTTTATTTTATTAAATTAAAATTCCACATTTAATATGTAAAGTAATATATATGTAAGGTATTTATTAGAAATGATTTATATATGTAATGTATTCAATGTATTAAAGCTTTATTAATTTTACTAATTTATTTTTTTTCTTATTTTTCTTATAAATTCAAACTTTTTAAATTGTTAAGTACTTAATTTTCTTTTAAATAAATCTATGTAATACATAGTGTTTATAAAATAAAATGAATGATCGAGCTTCGAGCATGTTAGTCCTCAATTGATTTCAACTAAATTTCCAAACAACCTCTAAATCAAAAAAAAAAAAAAAAAAACCAATCATCCCTGCAAAAACCAAACCATCATACCAAGTTATCGAACATAGTTTCTTATCCTTATAGATATCCTCAAACCACTAGTAGTTTCAGGGAATTTCAACGAAAACTGAAAATGTTACTATTCAACAGTTTATCAGTTTCAGTCCCAACAATTTCAACGATTCCCTCGATTCCTAGTCATTTGAGTAGATTTGGCCGGCATTACCATCACCTCCTACGCGTTCCCCGGCCATTTTCTTCGAATCCGCTACCCATTGTTACAAAAAACCAAAAGCCCTTCTTCTCTTCGGCCTTGGTATCAACTGAAGAAGGCAATACAGAAGTTGAATTTCAAGTGTTAACTGCCATCAACAGTATATACAACGACATCGTCATCGTAGATACAGCTGAATCACGAATGCTCCTCCTTGACTCTACTCGTATGCTCTTTTTATCTCTGTGTGTGTGTGTGTGTTTCCGTATATTTATCTGTCGATAATGCAATAGTTTCATCTGATTGATCTAAGATCATTTAGGTCGTATTGTTTACGACTATCTCGAATTCAACTTTCGTTTCAGGCGCCTGTTGGGAAGATGGTGACAATGATTCAAATCTCTTATAATGTACTTCCAGTTTTTGTTACCAATTTACCACTAGCATTGTGTTAAAACTCAAATGCTTATTACAAAGTATAATATGCTTTCAAGTTTCAAATCTAGCTCCTTTCCTAAGTTGCTGTTGATGATACTGCAGACAATGTTCACAGCATCTTTATGAAAGGACAGACATGGACTGGTTCATATTGGGTATGCTCGGTTTATTGTACCAATTCTTGGTTGTAAAGTGTTAAACAAAATGGTTTAATGTTGTTCTATTGGTGCAATTTTTGTACTATAAATGTAGAGTATAAAGATATTTCATCATACTCATTGTGATTGTGTGATATTTCAACAAATTGTACACTACAGGATGAATTTGCTACCTTACCAGCTATTATTCCAGAAGGTCCAATTGCAATTTTTGGCTTGGTAAAGTTAATTGTGTTCTGTTATGTATTTAAATAATTATCTTTATTGATCAACCAAAATTCACAGTGGAAATATATATGTTAAATTGCAGGGTGGTGGAACAGCTGCACATTTGATGCTTACCTTATGGCCTTCACTGCAGCTTCATGGATGGGAGATTGATGAAATTGTAATGAATCATAGCTTCTAATCGGGTGTTTAAGAAAAATGAGAATGTATTAAACATGGTGTTAAAGTGAAAATTTGGATTATTGACTATATCTTTTTCTTATATATTTCAGTTGATTGATAAAGCAAGAGAACATCTTGGATTATCTGATCTTGAAAAGCACACAGAAGATGGTGGTGTTCTTCATGTCCATATTGGTGATGCACTTTCTACATCAAGTAACATTCCCGGGGGGTATGCTGGTAATTTCATATTTGTCAATCAATTAAATTTCATCTATATATTTTCATTGTCGTTTCATTTGAGAATTCTTTTCAGGTATTGTTATTGACTTGTTTTCTGGTGGAGAGGTTTTGGCTCAGTTGCAAGAGGTATAAAGTATAAACAGTTAAACACACTTACAAACACACAGCCAATAGATTTTATTTAGTACTTTCTGTTGACAGGTGGAAACCTGGTTGGAAATTAATAAAAAATTGATGCCAAATGGTCGGCTCATGGTGAATTGTGGTGGCAGTAGTGATGCTATATGGGAGAAAAATTCCACCATTAATGCCATGTGCAAAGCATTTCCAGGACAAGTAAGAAAGCTATTACAAACTGATGATTTCATATATGCAATTTTTATGCTTTTTTTTTTTTTTTTTTTTAACAATGTAGCATTATTATTAATTACTTACAACAGGTAAATTGGAAAAAGATGCCAAAAAGTGATGGTGAGAATTACCTTGCATTCACGGGTCCTTTACCGGATTTGAGCATGTGGAGTGTTGGTCTTCCTGATAGATTGAGCTCAAGCATTAAGCAATGGACCTCATGTTTTCCTTCATAATTAGGTCAGTTCCCATGTTAGATTTTGTAAATTTATTGTGGTTTTGATTTGCTATTAAATTGAACCGATTTGTAGTTTAGGTTGTGTAGAAAAGAAGCAAGATTTTTAAGTGTATTATTTATAAAATTAATGGTGGATATCAAATTATCAAGTTTAACAACAGAAGACATGAGTAAACCTAGATCGTTTTAACTCTCCCTCAAACTTTCAGAGTTTGAACTTATTATACGAGGGGGTGACATGGCATTTATGTGTGTTTTTCTCTTCTTTAAATCGAATTAGGGCTACAAAGAAAAGAAAGGGAACGACTTATTTTTTCTTATCCTGCTTTTCTTCTCCTGCATCGTCGTCTTCTTGGGGTCCTGTGCATAGTTACCTGGGTCGCGACTCAATTCTCAGAGCGTTTCCAATTGTAATTCCAATCGTTCCAATCGCTACGAATTTGATGTTCCAGATCAATTTTGTTTTATTCCAATTGATTATAAATTGCGTATCAGTCGCCACTTTTGCTTTGGAATGAATTTAGCGACTCTTAGCAAAAGACGAATGCGACTCCTCAATTCCTATTCGACCTCATTTAGAGAACTTCCAATTTCACATTACAGCAATTAAACGATTTTCATCATTACTTTCTATTCTACATTTGTATTCTTCTTCTTCAATTTCTGTTAATATGTTCTTTTAGATTCAATTTCTGAATTGGCGTTTGGCAAAAATCGCAACACTCCAGAAGATGATCCTGGGATCATATTAATAGAGGGTAGATTAGACTTTAGAGCTTTGATGGTATAATGGTATGAAGGGATGCAAAAGTATAAATCTTTAGTTATATTGTTCATGTAACAGCAGGGGTAAAATAGTCCATCAACTATCATCAAGCCATAATAATGTGGAGAGGCATGCAAGGAAATATCAATGTATTTTTTTAAATAATAACAACAGGGGCAAAATGGTCCATAAACCGTCAACCGGGGCATGGAAATGTACTTATGTGTTAAGCTTTTAATGGTATGATGTAATAAAGTAATATTTTTGAAATGGAATGGGTATAAGTATTTATTTTGGAAATTTGTAGTTATGGAACCAATCTTTATGTAAGAAAGGCAAGACCTTTTCCTTGTTGTGCGACTAGAATGGAATGACTAATTCCACTTACAATTAAAATCCAAGGGACAAAACTGTGAAGGGTAGAACCGTCATGTTTATCAAGGGACAAAACTGTCTTTTTTGCCTTATATGAACTATCATTTTTGTCAAGGGTATAGTAACAATGCTGGAAAAATTTAACCTTGAATAGCATCAAACTTAGATTTTGTTAAAATTGTCAATACTACCAGGGTTGAAAAGCACCAACTGTAGAACTGCCAATACTATCAACTTAAAAAGCATGAAGGGTATTCTGTCATTTAAACTTTTAAAAGCATTAATCTTTCAAGTGTAGAGGGGGTATTATGGTTCGAATGACACAGTGAAAACCTGAACATTTGAAAATAAGCAATCTCATACCAAGGGTAAAATTGACAAAACATTTCCAAAGTGCCAAATAGTATTGTAACTACGGGTAAATACCCGAACATAGGACACAAACAAACTGTAAAGATTACACAGATGCATTAAAATAAAGATTAAAACAAACTGTAAAGATTACAATCAAGGGAAAAAACTATAAAGTACATAGCCTTAAACTACCATTACACTAATACCATATAAAAATCTAATTTCTGAGTAATCTCATACTAGGGGTAAAATTGTCAAAAACACTTCCAAAGTGCCAAATAGTATAGTAAATATTCGAACTGAGGACACAGACAAACTGTAAAGTACAATGCCCTAAACTATCATTACAAAATGATTGTTATATCAGGTTATATAAATTATGAACTAGTAAAATTGTCCTCTTCATGTTCCTCTCTTTCATCTGTAAGACTGTAACATGCTCTTCTTCATGCTACTCTACTTCAGCTTCCAAACATGTGTCCTCTTTATGCTCCTCTATTTCATCTGTATCATGCTACTTTACTTCAGCTTCCAAAGTCAAAGTAACTTGTTGAAGGTTTGAGCACTGCAAAAGCCAATGTCAATGATTAGCAAGTCACATAATCACATAAGAGAACAAAGACAATATATAAAATATAAATAACATATCCAAATGACATCTATACAAAATAACATATCCAAAAGGCAATGTACTTTCACAGTTAAGAATTACGGGAAGATTGAAAGTATATTGTTATTTTAGACATGCCAAAAAACCACACGTGTCACACCCCCAAACCAGAACGGCGGAAACGTTCAGGGGCAGAGGACGTCATGTCAAGTATCACAACACATGCATTATAGTAATAAAAGTACAATCAACCATTGCATTAATAATGTATAAGTTTTTACATAAGTGTCTAAACATTACATGTTTAAACATCAAAAGTAGATATAGCAAAAGACGAAAGACGCAGCACGGTACTATGCTGTCTTCTCAAAAGCTTTGGGAGTGTACCTGTCTACTGGATTCCTGAGAATACAAGTTATTTTGAAAAAGAGGATCAACATTTAAGCTGGTGAGTTCATAAGTATTAGTTATGGTTGTTCTAGTTTTTAAGAAAATGATTGGTTAAGTTTCAGAAAATCCTATATTTTCTGCTGTATATAAAAAGTTTCCAACTAATTTATCCGTTAGGATGGTCCAAATAACCAAGATCTGGTACCTATTAGCTTCATAATGGATAAAGTTTCCAACTAATTTATCCGTTAGGATGGTCCAAATAACCAAGATCTAAAATTTAGGTCTCAAAGCAACCAAGAATGCATATTTCTCAACTTAATCTATTAAGTCCAAGTCTGTAACGCCCGTAGATTCGGGCTAGTCAATTTAGAGACGATAAGCGTCAAAAATGACTTTTTAATATAAGATTATTTAGAATGAATAATCTTAACCAAGTCATAGTATATGTTACAAGGGTTCTGTACATATAAAGAACGCCGAAATCCGAGTTATAACGAAGAAGTTATGGCCCGTCGAAGTTTAACGGCAAAACCGGCACGACACCGGGAGATGTAAATAGTGAATTTACGGTAGAAGACTTTTTAGCCTTAGTGATCTAAACAAAATTTGTAGTATACGTTAAACTGAGAACATACAAAAAAAAGAACGCCCAAATCTGACTTTGTATGAGAAAGTTATGAATTTTCTAAGATTTGGCATAGCAGTGCACGACCCAAAACTCGAATTTTAGTTCGAGCGGTTTTTGGCTTACGCGACCTAAATGAGAGTTGAAGATCTCATTAATAGGAACTCAATGGTAAAAAGACAGACGAAAACGGAGTCCGTATGAAGGAGTTACGAATTCTTCGCGGTCATTTAACAGTCTAATCTCCTCCTACTGTTAAATTTAAGAGCGGTCGAGAATTAGCCGACGGAGTCTAAATGAAAGTTTTAGATCTTGTTTTTATCTATGTGTGGATATAAGGAATGTCGAGAGTAGAGCTCGTATGTTAAAGATATGGACGAAACTTGGTCCCTACTCTTCGAGCGCGATAAATTCGATACAGTTTTGTAAATTTGAGATAGAATGAGAATTAGCTGACGACGTCTAAATGAAAGTTGTAGTACTCGTAAATACCAACACGTGGATATAAAGAACGTCAAAAATGGAGTTCGTATGAACGAGTTACAAATTATAATAGCATATTTACGTATTAAAATAAAGTATAAATCATATATACGTACACATATATATACAAATGTATATATCATTAGAAAGGTATCGACGATGCGGTTATTATAAGACTAGTGTTGAGTACTTTCGACATTAGTTTAGTACAAATATCGTTAAATCTATTTAAAATAGTATTATGAAGGGGTGTTTAGTCGTTTATATAACTATAAGGTCATTAAGTAATTATGGAGGGTAGTTTTTGTAAATTCAATTACTATAAATAAGAGGCTTGGACTCTCATATTTCTTGCACCATTCTCTTGATTCAAGAGTCTTTCTCTTCTTATCCCTCGAGCATTTCGGTCCCTCGTGATTCGACTTTTATTTCTGTAGTTTTAGTATAGTAAGGTGAGCGCTGAAGTGCTGCACGAATCTTTCTTAGAAAGATTCAGCGACGAAGTTCTGCCCCTGCAGAGCCCGACTCCTAGCTAAAACCCCCTTATAAGTAAGTTATGCTTACCTATTTTAATATAGCTTATATTTAAAATTAGTATTGTTATTATGAACTTATAATAAATATTTGAGCTATTATTATGACTTATATAAGTGTCGTTATAATATCTTTTTAACTACTCGCGGTACGGGGAATCTGGTTTAAAGGGCCGCATAGGGTTGTTGGATTTCAGAAGTGCTATATGCCAAAATGGTCCTGCCCTCCGGTGGTTTATGTCTGGCCCCTGTCTGTACATAGTGGTTGGAAAGTATTGTTTAAACGTTTATATAATAATAATAATAATAATAATAATAATAATAATAAGACTAATAATTAGTCACGGTAAATATTAGACTAAAATCTAGTGGTAATAATACTAGGTTTCGTCGAAGGAAATTATTTTAAAGTAAATGAAGCGCTGTCCGAGTACCGAGTCACCACCTTATCAAGTGAGTGCATAGTTACTTTCATCTTACACATAGATATGAAGTATTTTATATAAACTACGTGCTATGTGTGCATATTATCTGAGTACTTGCTGTCTATGCTGGATGAACGATTTTATACATATTTTAAATAATTTAAACTGTATATATATATATATATATATATATATATATATATATATCTACGATAACATGTTGGGTAAAACATGGGTAGATGTAATGGATGGAATATAAGTTGGATGATGAGTTGAGAGGTGTTATAGACCACGAGGTGAGTGTGAGAGGTGGACGATGTGAGAAGCCTTTCCCAAATGATGGCCCCGTCATCTAGTAGAGTATGGATGACAACCACAGACTATTCTAGACAGTCTAGTGGTACACTAGCAGGCTCGCAACCTGTAGGTGTTGTGAACAATGTGTTCACCTGGTGTACTCTAAACCCTGGCGATCATGCAGACTTGGTGCCTAAACCTTGGCGATCATACATACTTGGTGCCAAAACCCTGGCGACTATGCAGACTTAATGCCTGTTGTATAAACCCTGGCGACTATGCAGTCTTAGTGCCTAAACCCTGGCGACTATGCGGACTTAGTGCCTGTTGTATAAATCTTGGCGACTATGCAGACTTAGTGCCTAAACCCCGGTGACGATGGACTTTGTGCCGATTCCTTAGGATGATCCTTAGGAATGAATGAACTAGGAATAGTTGATTCTTAGGGTAGATCCTTAAGAGTAAAGAAGATAATGGGGATGGGTAATTGGGTTGATTGTTTGATGTTTAAACATAATAATTATATTATTGTGGGTTGAAAACCCTATGTACTCACCAGGTTTCCCAACCTGACCCACTCAGTTTATTTGTATCACAGGTGTCGATATGAAGTTACTTTACACTGAGAGATTTAAAAGAGATGTAGATCACTAGTGTAAATGAATGTAAGTTCTGTTTATGCTTATGTTTCTGTATTGATGATGACATCCCAAATGTTTTAAAATGAATAAAAATACATTTCTTTGGAAATGCTTTGATAATGTATTTATCATGTTTTTCTGGGAACAAATTCCGCAAGATTTTTATTAAAAGAAGTACTCTGATTTTTATAAAGCATAAACAAAATCGGTCTTTTCTGGCCGTGAAAATGGGGATGTCAGAAAGTCTCCAACTTTCAGATCTGAATCAACATGATGTTTAGATGGATAAAGTTGGACCACAATGACCTAAAGGACCAAGATAACTCGCATGACTTAAAGGGATGTGTAACGCTCTGTTCCGAATTGACTCCTAGTATGAGGCTGTGGCTCGAAGGTCGGTCATTATAAGTATTATGGCTTTGGGAAGGTAAGATCTAGGCCCATTTGGGTGTGGGTGATGTATTAGAAGTGATCCGGGTGTGCGGTTCGTGTTTTGGAGCCTAGGGGTATTTCGGTAAAGTGGCAGTTCGGGCTTTTGTGGAAACATGGATTTTTGTTCGGAAGGTCTTAAGAAAG